TATTCCGTGGACGATTGCAATTTTAATCGCCTCTTCATTATGATTAAATTTAAATCGGCTGTGTGCAGCAGGTCTAATAAAGCTCGTTCCGCGGCGGCCGCTTTCCGTTGAAAACAGAAAATGTCTCCTGGGCGGATTAAAATACGCGTAATTAAAACCGTAAAGCGCCAATACGTGTCCCCGAAAATAGACTGTCGGCTTCGCGATAAATGTCCGGCTGAAAAAAGCTTTTTGTCAGAATCTCTGGGCACACGTGCAATGTGAGCGAGCGAACGAAAGCACGCGCGCGCGCGCAACCAAGCAAGCACCAGCGATCAGGCTGCCGTTGGGTGGACACGCCGCTGTACCGGGCGGGATGATTGAGCTTTATTTGAAGCATCGAAAGCGGTTAATTAATATTCTAGAAATGATTGACGGTAAGAAACAGCCGGTTCTGTTCGCGTATATGTGTGTATATAACCTTTCTAAAAACGTGCAACCAAGTGGGGTAGAGCGAGCGCAAACTGCGAGGGCGCGCGCGAAAAAGAGCCATTGACCCCTGCTCGCCACAGAGGGTTTCGAGAAGGGATGGAAAAAGAGCCCTTGGCGGATAGCATTTTTGCTTTTTTCTTCTTTTCTTTTTTTGGTTATTTTTTCTCTCGTCGCGCTTCCACAGAGCTGCAAAATTATTTATAGCCGTCGAATCGGCGTTTTCCGACGAATAATTTTCGTACGTCGCGCTTGGACTTTGGCCCCGCGACGCTGTATTTTCGTTTTTCCTTTTCCTCTATTCTTCTTTTTTTGGAATCCTTTATTTTGAATAATCACACGGGGGACGATCACGCGAGTGAAATAGACGAAGAGGGTAATTCCTCTCTCTCTCTCTCTGCTTCGCGTCCCCTTTTGTCGTCTCTTTTGTTACTATTTCGCCGGGTTACGGTGTTTCCGTACGCTTCGCATAGACAGAGAGAATCCGTTGGGTATATAGATATGTAGAGTCAGCACGAAAACGAACGGAAAGTAAATAAATGCGAGAGAGAAAGAGTTGGTAACGGCGCGAGGAAGAAAGGATAAATAGAGTGTATTTATATTTTATTCGAAATAATAAAAGTCGGTCTAATGTAAAATTCATTATATCCATTATTACTAATTAAATGGAGTGAAAGGTCGGCAGTGGAGGCGCATGAATTTTTTAGCGATAAAGTGCTGATTGAGGGGGATTTTCATACGTGGCCGGTGCTCGCGCCTTCATTAAATTCTCTGATTATCGCGATAAAAAAATCCGCGCCGCCGCATCGGCGAGCGGCGGACATAGGATCTGTGTGTACACTATCTGAGACAAGGGTAGCAGTGCGTCTGGCCGCGGCCACGCTAAACGAGTGGCACAATTGAAAACGTTATTACGTTAAAGCGTAATTAAATGCCTCGCATAATTCCGGGGATCGGCTACGTTGATGCCGCACACCGAAGTAATTGTTGATTGTAAAGCAGTTCCCCGACGAATGCGTTATCGTGCAAGCAATACAATAGTTGTTAATTAACAGCAATTAGAGACGGAGCGGCAATTACACCTCTTTTCGAGCAGTAATAAATTACAACAGATCGATAAATCGTAATATTTCATTACACTATTTCAAGTATTTTGTTGGTAATTAGAAACGCTTCCCCAGTAGCTCTCTTCTCTGCTAACGCTATCATCGCATTAAAGCCGATCGTTGGTTAATTTTTAGCTGCACACAACTGCCGGTTCCCCTGATCCATTCTGTTTCACCTCGCAACTACGCTCACCCTTCCCTCCCGCCCTCGCCCCTTTCCGCAACTGTTTCGCTCGATTAAAAAGTCCCGATTGTTCGCGCGGAAAATTCTGCAAACTTTATAAGCAGAGGAGCGTTCTTTCGGTGATTCTTGGTATCGCCAATTAGCCGGTTGAAAACGGTAATTTAATAGTACGCACGCGTTCCTCGATTCTCTCGCGTTCAATCGTTTGATTCGATATCGCAATTTTCCATTGGTCCTTCTTTTTTTTATTTCCTTTACCATCGATACACACGTTTCTTCGTTTTATCAAGGCACGAACGTACTTTCCTGTGGGTAACTCTCGATAATTTTAGTCGATGATGTTACTTGTACGTTAAATTGGTTTCTAGTAATCTTATTGAATTGGAAAATACACGTGACGTTCGTCCATCGATAAATTGTCACCCGTTTTGTCGGCACTTGGCAGATGCCTTTGATCGCTATATGTAGGAATCTGTCACGACTAGCGGATTGAGAATTAAAGTATCGCTGAGACGAGACGATACCGAATAGAATTACAGATAATCGTTCGGAAAATAATCAGTTTGTTGGTAACTGTCTTCCAACCTGTCCATCGCAGAATACATCTGAAACCTTTCCGAACAAATCGGAGAACCGTTCGAATAATTACACAAAGATTAGAAAATTCTAACCTAGAAACAGAAGTGAAGAAGCGTTCGTTTTGAAACCCCTGCTGAAATACCGACAGATAACCATTTGAATTCTACAAGAAAGACTGAAATTCGCCAGAACCAATAAACAACGACCACTAGAAACCCAGTGCAAAGGACCTCGCGATGCACAGAGGTGCACACACGAGCCACGTGTGCACGCGTCCGCGTCTACAGCGACGGGGGTGGCCCAACCCTCGTGAAAACGTCGAGCGGCGGGTCCGCCATGGCGAGTCAAGAAATCTTTGATAGCGACGCTCGATAGTATAGCGACGCTGGGCGCCGGCGCCTTTCCCTAGCAGCCCCATTGGTGCCTGAGGCCCTCTCCACACGAGAGCCTGCCGCCAGGTTTCCTTGGAAACGCTTCGTTCGCTCTGATGTCTACCCTCGCCCACGGAAAACCTCTTTCAATTAGGCAACCAGCCACCCCGAGCACCGTCTCTCTCTCTCTCTCTCTTTTCTCC